CTCTTAATTCTCTATAAGAGAAGAGAGAAAAGAGAGAGAAGAAGCCTGTATAACTACTCTCTATAATACTGAGAGTCAACACTCTGAGAATCTCTGTGAGAATTCTTGAAGAGAGTATCTATAATCTGAAGAATTTACAGGCTTTGAAAAGCATCACAGAAGACCTGATATAAGAGAAAATAGAGTATAAGTCTTTATAAGATCTTCTATTCAGATTGTCTGAACTGTAACTGAAGAATGAATATACTCAGTATATTCAGAAACTACTTATAGCAGAGATCAACTCTGCAGAAATAAAGAATTGAAGAGACTTAAATAATCTCTTATAAAGAGAGAGCTGAATTTATATATTTATAAATGAGTTTCTATGTATAGAACTTATTAAAAGGCATTATAACTCTTCTCTAGCAGGTTATTTTACAGACACTAGAACTTATAAGTTGCTTATAAGAAAATACTTCTGACTGAAGATGTAAGAACTTATGAAGAAGATAGTTAATTCTTATACTATTTATCAGAATTTGTGAATAGTGTAGTTCAGACTATATAAAGAACTTACTTCTCTACTCATCTTATAAGAATCTTGAGAATAGCTAGAAATAAACACTCTTATAAGCCTCTCTGAAAGCAAGAATATATATAATATCTGCTTTGACAGTGTACTAGTGATAGTGAATCACTTTATCAAGATAACACACTTTATACTCATCTGCAAGAACTTGAAGTCAAAGAATTTAACTTATATCTTTATTCATAATGTGATCTGATTGTATGAGTTGTCTGTAAATATTATCTCAGATAGAGAATTAATCTTTATAAAGAAGTTCTGATCTGATCTGATAACTATACTGAAGATCTTGTGAGATCTAAGCACAGCTTTTTATCAACAGACAGATGATTAGATAGAATATCTGATAAGTATATTAAAACAGTATCTGCAGTGCTTTGTCAATTACAATTAGAATAACTAAATATATTAATTATCACTTATGAAGTTTATATATAACAACTCAAAGTATGTCAGGATAGATAAAACTCTCTTTAAGATACTCACTGAGACTCATCTGCAGATGATCTTGATAAATCTGTGAGAGTATACTATAGAGTGTGATGATGTCTGTGTACAGACTGAGAGAATTCAGAAGATCTGAGAGAAAGCCTGTAAATTCTTAAGAAAGACTCAAGAGTATTAGAAGAGATACTATGACTTCAAGTATATTATAAAGAGTTTCAAGAAAGATGATAGAGTCTGACTGAGTCTAGAAAATATTATTATATAGAGATCTAGTAAGAAGCTGAATCTCTTATAGATAGAGTCTTATAAGATTATAAAGAAAGTTAACTCACAGTTCTATAGATTGAAACTGTTATCTGAGTTATAGATATATAATATTTTTTATATCTCTTTACTTTATAAATATAAGAAACTCTTAGAAGAGAACTCTATGACTCATCACTCTGTCTATAAAGTACTAGAGAGTGAAAGAGAATATCAGATCAAAGAAATTATTAACTTAGAGAAGTGAGATTATAAGCTCTGATTTAAGATTCAGTGATAAGAGTATTCTGATAAGATAAATAAGTTCACTTAAGAATTATTTGAGCAGATAAGACATCTGCAGAAGCTGAGACATAACTTTCATATTATGAATTTTAACAAGTCAGAATAACACAGTCTTCACTAAGAATCTGATTATAATAAAGATATTAACACTGTTATTTACAAATTCTAATTTACAAGATGATGAGTTTCTACTGAAATGAACAGTTCACAGTATATACAAAGAAAAGAAGAAATCATGTTCTTATTAAAGTTAAAAAAAAAAAAAAAAAAAAAAAATTAAGAAAATAGAAATAGAGCTGTAAACACAATTTAGAGATTAATAAAGAAAAAACAAAGAAATCTTATATTCATATTCTTAATATCTGTAACACTTAATCTTTTCATAACTATCAATTTCTCTCTTCAAAGAAGTAGAGAGTATCATACTCATAATACAGATAATTGTTATATTTGATGTAAAGACTGTCAGAAATGCACAGATTTCAGAGAAGCTGAATATCAGAGTATACACAGTTGCAGCAGAGCCTTGAGAGCTGACTGTCTATATATATAATCAGATATCTCTTATAAAACTGTATTTACTCTCTCAGTTTTACTGAAGTATTCAGTCTGAAAATAACTGAGATATGAAGAGAGAGCTTATCTATTCAGATTAACTCTTATTATAAATTCATAACATTTATATTGCTTTAATTATCTGGATTTTATAGGTATCTGAGAACTCATCTCTCATTGATAATAAGATTGCAGAAATACACTGTGACATGAGAATCATTGATAGAGAATCTAGATATATTTACATATATCTGATCAGAGATTGTGCAGACAGAGAGAGAGTGATTATAGATGTATAAAACTGCAGAAGACACTGATAATATCAGAAGCTTTATAAGAACTGTTAGCTAGAGTCTGTAAGAAATTACTTACAGAGAGACTTACAGTAAAGAACAGAACTATGCTACTTGAAGTCAGAGACTGATCTGAGAGAGATATGAAATTAACTGCTGATCTGAAGATCAGATGCAGTGACAGAGCTGAAATAAGTGAAGACACTGTTATAAGCAATAATATTTCTGCTTCATTAGTTAGTAAAAAGTGATTAGAGAAGTTATAGAGATACTTATAAAAAGCTCAGTAATAATCAGATATTATTTATAAAGATATTAAAATTAAAAAAATTTTTATTCTTAAGAAGTTCTTGAATTAATATATAGATATTGTTAGAAACACTCTCTCTCTATTATCTAAGTGAAAACACTTCACAGATGAATAAGAATACTCATAGTTTATAAGAATGAAAGCTGTTATAAAAAAAGAAAAAAGAAGATAAGATTCTATAAACAGATCTGAGATATTTATACTATTTTAAAGAGATTTACTTACACTGTGAGTGATTCTGTAAAATAGTCAGATCACTCTAGTAAATAAAGAGTGATTATGAATTATAGATCTGAATCTTTCTATATGACTATAAAGAGTGATTATAAACTATGAATATCTTGATTCTATAATTCTATAGAGTTGATGAAAGAATGAAAAATTTCTTATAATTTTACAGTATTAAAGAACAATGATTTATAAGAATAAGTGAAAGATTAACTTATAAATACTTCTCTTTAATAAGAATAATCTTATAGAGAGTGATTCATCTGTGAGATAAATCTGTGTAATAATCACACAAGAATCTTATAGAAATAATTAAGAGTTAATTAGAATTCTTCTATATAAAAGATATGAGATGAATCTGTATGATAGTTAGAAAAGAATCTGTAAATTATAAAGAATCTTATAAAATAAGAAACTAAGTGACAGACTCTTTTTTCTTCATAGTAATAAGAAATTTTTCCTCACTAAGATTTTTTATAAATATGAAGAATTTTTAATGAGTATCACTGCAGTGCTGAGCTGATTCTATAAAGTTACTCAGTGAAAGACTTTACAGATAAAGTCTTAGAGAGAGAGAGATATATAAGAAATTCTGCTTCTTACAGATTCTTTATCTCTATTTCTATCTCTTATATAATTAATAGAGTTAGTGACTCTTGACTATACATAACTATATAGACTGAAGTTCATAAATACTATTTATAACTCAGCTTGAATACTATTATATATTTAATCTCTACATTTTATCTTTCTACTGTGAATACTTCTAGTAGTTAACAGTACATATCACATCAAGCTGCAAACACCTGAATAATCGCCTGCAAGCACTTATTCTTACAATGATTGAGAATGACTGAGAATTAAAGTATAAACATTTATACATGTTTATAGTGGCTGAGAATTGACAATTGAGAATGAGCGAGAATTGAAGCAGTAGAAATCTGTGAAGTGTAACAGAATAGTCTTATATAAATAATTAAGTACAGCCCGTCACAATAATTAATTAATAATTAATTCAGAATTAATTCAAAATCAATTCAAAATTAATTTAATACTGAAATTATTCTTGAATTTAATAATAAAGTAAGTATTTATATAATTTACACTGAATTGATTATCAACTGATTTTCAATCAATTGATAATTACTTAAATATATAGATTAAATTTATTTTTATTACTATAATTAATTCAGAATCAATTCAGAATCAATTTAAAATCAATTTAAAATTAATTATTAAATATTTTTATCTTGATATATTTTAAAATTCTGTAAAACATCTCTTTATATTCTATATGAATTTATCTGTTCATTTAATTAATTATACATGCTTTGATTGATTGATAAGCTGAGTGGATGAATGAATGAATGAGTGGATTGAAAGATTGAAAGTCAATTACCAACTGATTATTACTGTATTGTGCGAGGTCAGGGTCATGATTATGTAACAAGGTCAAGTGGCGCACTTAGCGAGGTCAAGTTTTCTGTATACACTAATTAATTTAGTATAACATATATAAGAAGCCGGCGTACGCCTGTAATTGTACGCTGGCTCAAGCAACCTTTGAATCACACTGTAATATGATCTCATGTGATGTCATGTGTATTATGCCTTTGAATTCATGAATGGGATTGAACACCTGGCTCTGCAGCCTGTACAGCTCTGATTAATCTCATTATGGTGATAGGGGTGATACAGGGTGGAAGAGGGTGGTAGAGGTAGTAGAGATAGAGGTGGTGGTAGAGCGGGTAGGGGGTGGAAGGGGCGGAAGGGGTAGTAAGAGAGGGTAAGGGGTAGAGGGTAGAAGTGGTAGAGGGGGCTGCGCAAGCAGCAAAGCGAGCGTAAGCGAGCGTTTGATGCTTGTGCCTAGAAGAGAATAAAAAAGAGAAAGACAGAATTTAATAAAATGCTGAAGTAGCGGGAGGAGGAGACTTTATACCTTCCCAAGAGCTAGATGGAGCCACCTTGCCTAAATGGGCATGCTATACTACAAGTCACGGGATCCGCCTCGCCTCTAGGAGTTCAGGTTTGGTCGGGATAAATTTAGGCCTTGCCGGAAAGTCAAAGACATTCGGGGCGTTCTGGCTGTGAGTGAGGACGAACGACCTCACATGGGAGCATCCAGACTGCTCACGGAGTCAGAATGCTAAACCCGACCATCTCATCTGCATCCCTGTTTCAACGGCCTACACTTGTGTGTGTCGATATCATTCGGTCAATGCGTGGTGTTGGACGTGGCAGGACCGGAGTGTGTTGTTGGCTGTCTGTCTGTCTCAACCACATTCACCCTCCTCATACAACTCCCTGTATACACCCTCAGGGCTACAACAAGACCATCTACTCGACCACCATTCTCCTTCGTTTCGGGTGATATCCTCATCGACATTTATTGATATATCGGCAGGCCTGCTGGTGTTGCTCTTTCACAACCTTTATATATATATCCTTTACCTCCCCAAATTCTTGATACACCGCTTTAGAAACGTAAGTTGTTTCTTGATATTGAAACAGCCTGGTCGAATTTCCTTCCTTCTCTTCATGTGTCTTGGACTACGACGGAGTGCCTCGCGCCCTTAGATATCGATAGCTTGGCCTCTCGCCCCAGGTACGTTCCATTGACCTGACGTTTCGTCCGCTACCCCTCGACCCAAACCCGAAGACAAGAGTGCACACTATTTCCATCGGCGACTACTCTCCTCAATCATTCGTCTCCGAGCAACTAGTTGTGCAGACACCTGTTCATAGCCCTTTTGCGACCGATGAACCTTTGCATGCTGGATCGTCTGAATTCATTTCCTCACTTGGACGTTCTATCTTCTAGATTCCCAGACCGTTTCGAGTCTTTCATCACAGGTCTTTTACCTTGACTTGACCATGCCTCATACACCAGAACTTCCACAGGGTGTGTGCCCGGGTGATATTTTAATAGTTGTCCGTGAGTATATACCGTTTTGCTCAGTTGCGTTTGCGGGATCTGATATCACCATGCGCGATAGATGACTTTATAGCTCGGGGCACGGACGAACTGACCCTTCGCCGGGGAGACAAGGTTGAGTTGCTCGAGCTGGATGAAGGTTTTGGGGATGGCTGGTATTTGGGGAAGCATGTGGCCGAGAATAGAACTGGCCTTTTTCCTGGTGGTAAGGACCCTTTCGTTTTGCCTACGATGCATGGTCATAGCTGATAAGGTGATGTCATAGTTTATACAACAAGCATCCCAAAGATAGGGGTTCGTCAGCATGGGGGCACAGCGTCAAATTCTACTATTGGGTCGAAGCCTCGCAGAAATAGTGAGCCGTCGGCATCGCATACAGCCCTGGGAGCTATTTCAGGCCCCGCGTCGCCAACGTCAAACGAGGATACAACTCCGCAGGCATCACGCCAAGTTAGTGGCGCCGATTTTGGACCCCCGACTACTGAAACTACTGAAAGTGATGCCCCAACACGACCCGGGCAACAACAGGGCCCTAGCATGTCGCACCTCCCCTCTTCAACTCCCCTGCCACAGGCCGTGCAAAGAACTATCAGCAAGACTATGTCTCGTGGAAATGGAGATGATAGTGCTGTGATAAATCAAACCTTGAGCGTTATCGATGAACATATCACGAATTTCAGCACCCCACGCCATAGTGTTGTTGCACAGGACCCGAGGAATCCAAATGATTCTGGCAGCGAATACAGCAGCCATCGAGACCATAGACTGTCGTACATCCCTGGAGCGGAAACTGAAGAAGAAGAGGGAGTCACTTTGAACGAATACACTGTAAGGGGTTGGGACCATCACCAGACTGCTCGACATCTTCAAGGGCTTGGTATGGATCCAAAACATTGCGAAATTTTTGAGGAGCAGGAAATCACCGGAGATGTTTTGCTTGAGATGGACCAAGAATTCATCTATATGAAGGAGTTTAACTTTGGGGTTATGGGAAAGCGGTTGAAGAGTTGGCATATAATCAAGACCTTCCAGGAGGAGATCAAAGGGATTAGGCAGCTGCGACAATCCTCATCTACCTTCTCGGGTAGAGATCGCTCTTCTGGGGAGTACGACCGATCTCAGAGTCGATCTGGAGGCTCGTTCCTTCCCAGGATCCCTAATTTTACCGAAAGCCCAAGCCGCAGTGCACGACAATCGAGAAGTGCGTCTGGAAAACATTATTCAGGGATAACAGCTTCTATGTCTTCGACTCTGAGCAGCAACGCTTCCCCAGTTTCACCCCTGAATCAAACCTCTGGCCTAGATAGTTCCTCAAGACCATCAGCAGCATCTATCCGCCAGATAAACTATTCTCGCTCCCATTCATCAATGGAAGGCTCTCCAGGATCTCCTAACCAGAGAACTAGGTCAGCACACGGTGCTCCCCGAGGTAAAAAAGCTTCGTTTGACAGGGGCTGGACCCTGGCAACAGGATCCCAGGCTGTGAACAATCGGCCTGAGAACTTGGTTGGTTCCCCCGCAGAGTCAATTCGCCAGCGGGGGCTAGCCGGCTTTGCCAATCCCGATTTCGATTCCTCTCTCATTGTGGACTCAGCGGATTTGGATAGAGGATATTTCTCAGGAGGTGAAATAGATGCCCGGAAGTCTCGGAAATTGCTTACAAAGCGGGATTCTACAGGCCGAAGCTTTAGCCATTCAAGGAAATCTAGCACTGCAGAAGATTCGAAGCAAGCCCGCGTTAAACGGCACTCGCGATTTGGTAGCGCAGACTCCATCCGGGATTTCGTGCCGCATTTCTCAAACAAAGTTAACCAAAATAGTTCGTTAAACGGGAAGCTCGGTGACCACAGCGTCTTCTCCAAGCAATCGTTTGGAGACAACACCCATGCTCCTACTGTAACGAATTTGGAAGAGAAAAACACAAGCCCCAGTAATGGAATATTTTCTGCACTATCCCCCCTTCATTCAAAGGGGGATGGAGAAAGTTCTGGGCGCTCCTCCCCCTTACCATCGTCACATCTCAAAAACGTTGCTCCTAGAGTTCGTCGTGCCATAGGCTTACGCGCTGTTTCAGATGCCGTCACTGGTAACGAGAGAGCAATGGCTTCATCATCCCCCTCTTCAGCATCTGCGTCAAAGGACTCACAGAAGTCCCCCACTAGGACAAACTCTACTACACCTTCTGGTACATCCAAAAGCTTCGAAATAGAAAGCATAGATAGTTCTACGAAAACCGTTGAAGGAGCATTTGCATTAGTGGCAATGCCAAAGGCTTCCAATGCGCGCTCAAAATCAAAGAAAGATACCAGTGCATACATGCGAGGTTTAGAAAAGAAAACTCCACAAGAACAAATGATTGGATGCGACTACTCTGGCTGGATGAAGAAGAAATCCTCCAATCTAATGACTACATGGAAACCGCGACTTTTCGTTCTTCGTGGTCGCAGACTTTCATATTATTATTCAGAGGACGATACAGAGGAACGTGGACTAATCGATATCTCCTCACATCGTGTATTCCGTGCTGACCAAGACACGATCACGGCACTTCATGCCACACTCACCGGCGCAACAGCGTCTCCAACGTCTCCAAGTAATTGGAATAACGGGAATCCTTCCGCCGATGCAGATTCGGTATCAAATATGTCCAAGTCGTCTTCCGGCGATGCGCCATTCATATTCAAACTCGTTCCACCAAAGGCCGGGTTACCACGGGCGGTTCAGTTTACAAAGCCCTCCGTCCACTTCTTCCAAGTCGACAACATCCAGCAGGGGCGTTTGTGGATGGCAGCACTCATGAAAGCTACGATAGAGAGGGATCTAAACCTCCCAGTTACGACCACGAATAAGCAGAAGACAATCAGTTTGAAGCAAGCTCGTGCTTCCAATCAGCGTCCTCCCGCTCTCATGGGTCCTGGAGTCAAGGAGAAGAAGGCTTCTTCGTCTTCGCCTGAGAACAACGCCAAAGCGACCGACGGACAGGTCACTGGAGGATTGAATATTATTGAATCGCCGGGGGAAGACATGGGCAGTAACAAAGCTAACTCAGAGTTGAAGATACTCGAAGCAGGGGTTATTGGCTCCTCTGACTTGATTGCTGAGTCGATTCTAAACTCAACCCAAGAACCTGCTTCGTAATGGTGATAGCTGATTTCGTCTTAGCGCTTCGTATATCTATCCAAATAAGTATGTGCGTGGGGAGACCTTATTTTTATAATGGTTGAATTTATTTTCCTTTTTCACCGTTATGTTTGTATAATTGTCTACGCAAGCACAACGCTCGCCTTTTGTTTCCCACTGCCCTTCAACATCTGTTCCAAACTTTCTTTCCCTTTTTCCCTCAAATTTCCCTTTCCTTCCACTTTTTCTTAACTGGAGTTTACAGCACATGGCGGCTATGAGATATACCCTTCATTTAAACTTTCTTCCCCCCTCGATATGAACACATGGGAAGGACATATGAGTCGGCAAGCTTTACTTAACAACGGCACTTACTTTTCAAGTATGGTGAAGACTTTGCCTCATTTTTACTGTGGTTTTCTTTATTCTTCATTAACCTCTTATAATTAACTGATTAATTGATCCCTTTCCTTTTAAATTCACGAAAAAAAAAAAAAAATCTGCCTTGAGGCTTGTTACGCTATGTATCTTAAATATTAAAGTTGTAATCAGACTTCGTATTAGCGAAATGCTCGCTTTTAAATCTAGCCGCTTCGTATATTTAATGGTGTCAAATAATCATCTATCTCCTTAAATCGTTCAATTGTTAGGATGAACGCTTTTCAAAATTGACATGCCTTACGCATAGTAATTATTGGATATTGAGGTGATACAGTGCGACCCAGTCACAGCAGGAAAGGTGCTGAGGGGCGACGAAGCTAAATTTTATCTTCGTCCCCAAAGAATTTTATGTAAAAGCCGCATGAGCAACAAAATTTCCTTCCCCCCCATCCCCCCTTTTTTTTAATCCTGATAGTGTAAAGACCTTTGTTTCTACCTCATACTTATTTTTTATATAAGCCTCGACTGCTGGTAGCAACTGACTTGACGAAGAAAGAGAAGAGATAAATTAAAACGCTCCAAATGCGCGCATCTCTATGTCCCTCCCAATGACCCTCCGCCGACTTCTCCCCATTCTCCTCCCAATCTCAACAACATTAATAGTCTATCTATACCTATACCCGATATTCCATGGCTGCAATTTTCCCCCAACAGCCTCGAGCGCGTCTAGCAACCTTCATTCCCTGCCTCCAATCCTAAATACCCTCCGCCAGCATGTCGATGTCCCTCACCTCGACACATCCCAGTATACCCCGAGAGCCCCTTTCCGCCTCCTTGTCCTCGCCGACCCCCAGTTAGAAGGCGATTCCTCCCTACCAAACCCGAACAACCGCCTTCTAAAGTGCCTCGCCAACCACTGGGACGCGATGATATCTGCGGAGACTTGGCCTGGCGCCCTGTTCGCGACCCAGCAGAGCGTCCGCGATACGCTGCTCCTCGATATCCCCCGTTCGCTCAGAGCGATGCGCAAGCGGATAGACCTCTTCGGCAATGACTTCTACCTAGCACATATATACCGGTCCTTGCATTGGTGGTCGAAACCGACGCATGTTACTGTGTTGGGAGATCTGATCGGGAGCCAATGGGTGACGGATGGGGAATTTGAATGGCGCGCGTGGAGGTATTGGAATCGCGTTTTTCGCGGGGGGGTTAGGGTTGATGATGAGATAACCATCACGGGCCGTGAGGATGTGCATGGGAAGGATGTGAAGGTGGTCGAAGATTTAGTATTGGATGTGCAGGGTGACGATGGATCCGCTCCCTCTGGTGGACCGTGGGAGAATCGCATTATTAATGTTGCTGGGAACCACGATGTTGGGTACGCGGGTGATATCACCGACGCTCGCATGGAACGTTTCGATAAAGCCTTTGGACGGGCTAATTGGGATATGCGATTTCAGTATCGTGCTGCCCGGGATAACTTTACGACTACACCTAACGGTACAGGCCTTACAACTATTCCCACGAAACCGGTGGTTGGGGGATCATCCAGCACTACTACCCCCTCAATACACGTTATTGTACTCAACAGCCTCTTATTGGATACCCCGGCCTTTTACCCATCGATTCAAAAACACACATACGATTTCATCAACGACGTGATCCAGCGACGATCCCACCCGGTCGGGGACCGGAGCGCGTTCACACTACTCCTAACCCATCTTCCGCTCCATAAGCGCGAAGGGGTATGTATCGATGCTCCATTTTTCCGCTTCTATGACCAAGACGATCCGCGTGCGACAGAGGATCGGCCACCAAGGTTTAAAGCTGGGGGTTTGCGCGAGCAAAATCATCTCAGCGAACATGCTAGCCATCATGGGATCCTTCAAGGGTTGTTTGGTATGAGTGGGGACCTGCATGCTGCGGCGGGGGGGATGGGCCGGAAGGGTCTTGTGTTAACCGGCCATGACCATGTCGGGTGTGACGTTCTACACTATGCCAATCGATCTGTGACACCGGGTGATGATCCGGAAGGGGACAAGGTCCCCGGTTGGTCGTGGGCTGCGACGAGATATCCTAGAAGCGGCTCCGCTCACTCCTCGCTGTCATTGCCGTTCCCAGATGGTACGCCCAATATTAGAGAAGTTACTCTCCGCTCGATGATGGGGGCGTATGGCGGCAATGCGGGCTTCCTCTCCCTGTGGTTCGACTCTGATCCTTCCGTGCAGGAATGGAAATATGAGATTTCCACGTGCCGTTTGGGCGTGCAACATATCTGGTGGGCTACCCATATTCTTGCGATAGTCACGGCCGTTCTCCTTGTGGTTTCTGCATCGTCCAGTGTCTGGGCCCGGTTGTTTGGTGGCCCAGCAAGTGAGGCAGCTGTCGAATCGAGAGCAAAGGGGAATAAGGGCTAAGTGATTGGTAATAAAGCGGATGACTTAAAAAGGGTCCCCAAGATGTGAAGAGCTCCACCACGTGAGGATTCCACTGAGGATGGAGAAGGGGATTCAAATGATAAATGAAGAACTGGGTTACTGAATTTTAAGGACTGGACCCATGCTTTCTCAAGGTAGAGGCCCCCCCCTTTTTTTTTTTTTTTTTTTTTTTTTCTCCTTTCTTTGTGGACCTAATAGCTACTTATACCCTGTCCGTTTTCCAGTTTAGCATCCGAAGGAGCATTTGCAGCTTGTTTTCTAATCAGCGGTGGACCTTAATTCTTTACCTCTATATGTATGTACAATATGCCGGGTTTATTTTCTTGCTTTTATTCACCTATGCGTTTTAGGAGTATGGAAGTATACAGGGTATTACCCTCTGTGAAATTATCTCTTGCTAATAATATTACATCTAATCTGGCTTGTGCTGTAAAGCGGATCATATAAACGAACAATATCTGTGGCTTTGTCTACGGGTCGAAATAAACAGAATATATCGCAATCTAGGAGGCAAATGCGGGCTACACAATCTCTCTGAGTTCTCTCGGATGGGTTTCAAAGGGATCATTTCTCAAAGATCCCGCGTTGCTCTAGTTGTTACTGCTGTTCTTTTCTTCATTTCTCCTATAACTCTTTCATATACTTTCTCGCACCAGGGTATTCCTATCTAAGAATTCGTCTTCATTGTGTTATCGTCGTTTCATTGACTGGCTCTGCTTGTTCGATTTCTCCTACGGAGGGATTGTATCGGACGGTACGGGTGGGTGGGACATACACTACGTGCACACATGGAAAAGCGGGAGGGGAGATATGGAGGAAAGAAAAGAAAATGTTCAGTAGGGGGAAAAACACCAAGAAAGTGGGAAAGCGGAAGGACAAAAGAAAATGATGACATTTGGTTAAACAAGTTTTGCGTATCGCATAAAAAACGCCTTGTAGGTAGAAAGATTTGCTTTCATTTTCTAAATTACCACATCCCCTCAACCATTCTACACCACGACACCGGAGTTGGCTGCGATACGCTGTGATAAAATGTTAGTATGTTATCTCACATATGGAAACCGAGGCGTGGTTATTGTTGCATACCGGCCACAGGTCTGTAGCTTCCTTTCCTATGGGACCGGTGATGGCTGAGCCCTTCATTTCACCCTTTGCGTTGACGATCTGCGGAAATTATATATGTTAGTATTAAGAGGTCTTCCAGACATGATGGTATCACATTTTCATCTTCCCGAATTCCTGCTCCTCAAGGAACCATTCAATTTGAAGTATGGTAACTCGACCACGTGGGAAAAGACTCCATCGCAGCGCAATCCGTTTTCCCAACCCTGACAAAAGGACCAGGGACCAGAAAGTGAAAAATAAGGGAAGGTAATACAAGTATAAGATCACTCACCACACCAGCATTATCCTCAAAGTACAGATAAATGCCATCCGCCCGTCGCCACGGCTTGCTCTGTCTTACAACAACAGCAGGCATGACTTTCTTCCTCAGCTCGGGCTTACCCTTCTTGACGGTAGCCATGACCATGTCGCCAACACCCGCGGCGGGGAGACGGTTGAGACGGGCTCCAATGCCCTTGACAGAGATGACGTAGATGTTTCGCGCACCGGAGTTATCGCAGCAGTTCATCACGGCGCCGCTGTGTTGAAAACCTTTGTCAGCATGGAATCTTCGCCTCGTATTTTGCATTTTCTTCCCGTCCGCATGCGTTTGGTTTGTTTTAATGGTTCGATGAGGGCTTTGTTGGGCATGTGGTGACATATTTTATAGGTAGGTTCCTGGGGTGGGAACTGGGGAGGGAGAGAGGGAGTTTTTCGTTTCAAAACGTACACTGGCAGACCGAGAGTCATCTTTAGCTTGTTGCCGGCGGCACCACCACGACTGTAGAAGACAGCAAAAGAAAAAGTCAGTTAAAAGTTTTCTCCAATTCAATATTTCCAATCTTCATTTAAAGATCTCCCCGCGCCGCCCGCTTCAACCTCAAAATCCATCAATTCGCGCTTTCATCCACCCCCTGCATCCTCGTCTAACATTATTCTTTCATCTGATCCGTTTCCTTATTTTTTTCCACACATTTATCATCCCTTTCTGCCTCCACCCCTCCTCACAACCAGAAGCGATCAAAACATTGGATTGGGGGTTCCTTTCAAGCTTACCCTCTTTTCGACATGGTGTTGGATTATGAAGTTTGTGCGTAACCGGTCAAAAAAGCAACAGGTGGTGGGGAATTTGGCGACAGACACGGTCGAGGGCGGCTGTTTGTCGTCTGGGTTGTGTCGTCCGTACTTCGAGGCTTCGCGATATTTTGTGTCGCTTAGTGTGGGCTAGAAATCTTAGCGCCCGGATTAGCTGCAGTTCGGGAAGATTAGTCAGATATACACGTGACTTGCCCTAACGCTAATATGATTTGGGAATTAGAGATCAACCTCCAGGGTTGCGTATTAAAGTGATTTATTAACATTGAGTAGAGCTTTACGGGAAAGATTCAAGATGATATAAATTAGACTGCATATAATGAAGCTTCAAACATCTGTGCATAATAATTTAGTGCTATTTAATGTATTATAACTGAAAATGGCTTTTTAATTATAACATGATATCGTCGGTTTGACTGCTGATACGTGATAAAACGAAGAGCCGATGTGAAATTTATTGAAACAAAACAAAATGGGGAGGACACACTTCCAAGTCTGATACGCCTTTTTGAAAAATCATCCCATACACAAAGATACAAATAATACAGGGCAAGACAAAAGGGAACCATAAATTTAAAAGAAATACCTTCCCAATTTGACGCCCAGAGCGCCTAAGCCTACGTCAATGCGGAGCATAGAACAAACGGGGAATTTGTCGAAAGTCCAGTTTCGTTACGGTGTATATGTTATCTGTCCTAGTAAACGCACCAGCAGTTCATACTTATAGTTGCTGTTCATCATCCTTCTCCTCCTGCTTCAGAGGCTCCTCCTTCGTAGCAGCTGGTACAGGGGGAGTTCCAGTGTCCGCGGGTGTAGATGTTTCTGATGGCCCCGCCGGCTCCGGCTGTGTGGGCTCAAAAGGCGCAGCTGGTGGCAGCGCTTCAGCTGAATGTGATTTCGGTGGTGTTGCTTTACGCGGCTCCTCTTTAGGTACTTTTGGCGCCTCTGTTTTGGTGCTGGTGGCAGCAGTGGTCGGTTCTTCTGGCGGCGCATCTTCCATCATCGTGTCCATGTCGGTAGTGGTTTCCGGTACGATTGATTCGCTAGTTGATAGGGGTGCTGACTCTGACGGCTCCTCTTCATCCGCAGCGGGAGGCGCAACAACGGCTTCGTTGCGCTCGCTAGTGGATATGTCGTCTGCATCCATCCTTGACTCCGATCGCGTTGCCGGTTCCTCTGGGGATGGTGTCCCCTTGTCTTGGATCTCGACTTCTGCTTCGGGCTCCGCTTCGTCGGCATCCTCCATTTTTTCATCAAGGCCAGCGTCTTCGTCTGGCAACGATGACTCTTCCCGAGGAGTAACCAGGCCACTGTCAGCGCCAGAATCACCTCCGTCAAGATTTCGGTAGTTGACCTGGTTCCGTCGCTTGATAACACCAGGCTGCGGACGGATTCCGTTCGCAGCTTGTTCTTCTTCGTCTTCACTGTCACTTAATTCACCCTCCTTTTCGATGTATTGGTCAAACCGCCGCTTGGTAAACCTCCTATCCTTATTCTCGTCTTCGTCGAGATCGTCTAGAATGGCATCGGCTTCATCATCCATTCCATCAAGTAGAGGCCCTCTTGGGACGTCCGTCATCTGAACAGACGGGGCGAAAGCAGTGCGCTTGAGGTTTTCAATAACCTGCATTCGAATCTTGTCGAGGTACTCTTTTGAATTTGCATTGTCCATATTCGACGGGCGAACATCAAGTTCGTAGTCAGGAGAAAAGTACTGCAGTGATATTAGCTTACAAGTCTACAAGCAAGTACCCCAAAAGGTATGGGTTGCCTTACCTCATAGTAGTCATTATATGGCAACTCAGTCCCCAACTGTTCACCCACTAGAATTCCAGTTTCGAAACACCACGTTCGAGCCACATTTCTCATAGTGTAACCACCACCACCGACAATCATAGTTGGAATGCCAAAGCTCCTCACGTATTTGACGCAATTTGCATGCCCTCTCATACTCAAATTAAAGCAACCCAAACGGTCTCCGGACAAGCTGTCTCCACCACATTGCAGCACCACTGCCTCGGGACGGTACCATTCCATAACGTGTTTAATGACCGGCTCAAAAATTCCCTTATAGCTTATATCATCAATACCATCTCGCAGAGGGAAATTAACGGCGTAATGTTTGCCCGCACCGACGCCGATATCGCGTAATTCGCCTGTGCCGGGGAAATATTCCCCATATTTATGGAAGGAAACTGTCATGACTCTGTCGGTGGTGTAAAAAGCTTCTTCCACTCCATCTCCATGGTGCACATCGATATCGACATATAGAACTCTTTGTTTGAAACGTAACAGCTCGAGAATTCCAAGCACGATATCTAAAGCAAGTCGTAATCAGTGTGTAAGCAGAGGCATTATTAGGACCCATCGCAGGGTTTGCGCAACATACCGTTCACGTAACAGAAACCACTTGCTTCGCTCTTTTTCGCGTGGTGAAGGCCGCCAGCCCAGTTGACTGCGATGTCGCATTTGTTCCGGTTGAGGCGTGCAGCGCCCTCCATGCTTCCTCCAGCGCTAATTCCGCAGAACTCGAAAAGGCCATCAAAGACTGGACAGTCGTCGCCGACATTGTATCGGCTTTGCTCTTTCGCGTAAGAATCCATGTTATCAGGCGTAACTTTTGCGAGGAAGTCAATATATTCATCGGTATGGAACTGGGTCATTTCGAACTTGTTCGCCGGTTTTGCGCGCTATTAAAACAAAGACTCCGAAAAGCTTGTTAGCGAAGTTGCCGAAGCAGCATCCCAGCTAGAGAAAAGGCTGGATGTCATAGCGGAAGTTAACATATACGAGAAGAAACGTACGTAAATTTCCATCTTCTTATATAGGCCGTAATTCATAACTAAGCTATGGGCCATCCGGATGCGATGGGGCTTCATGGGATGGCCTGCGACATATGCATAGTTGCCCACATCGGAATCATAAAAGTACGCAATCCTCTTCTTATCGGCCGGGCCATTGGCGATACTCAGGTCGAGGGGTGCAAATGACGACATGGTGAAAAGTGCGCTCGCCTATAGCTATATGATCGGGTGAGAGGAGAAAGATTCAAAGCTCGAAGGCATGTACTTCGTGCAGAGGGAAGAGAGTAAAGTAGGGTATTCGGATATCGTCAGCAGCACAGAAGCAACAGCATCCTATAACAATCAACAGCGCCGGTCGTGGAGAGGGGTTGGGGCGTGGCGGCTGGGATGGAGGGAGATAGATAAAGAAGTGAAAGAGAGGGAGCAAACCTCAGTCAATGGCCGGCGAAAGAGCTCGGAGACAAGAAACAAGTGAACGAATTGGATGAAGGGGCGTGATGACTAAGCGCGCTTTGGTCTGCATGTTTTGGGAGAGCGCAGAAAACCGCGACAGAGCATCATCACAGCGCTTGACTACAGCTGCTACAGCTACCATCATCGGCCCTTGACTTACTTCCTAGACACCGGCATCCATGTTCCACTTGGTTAACCACTGATCTAGTACTCCGTCGAACATACCCTCTCCCGATTCCTACTCTGTTACGTGCTAGTTTCAAGCTTCGCAAGCACCGGAGCCTATTGTAGGAGCTCCATCTCTTCGGAGCCAGCCAGGGACAGCCACATCACACTGTCTACCTCCTACGCATATTCGATCACACTCAACAAACAAATATCGCGAAAATGGAGCGGTTTAATCGGATGCTGCAGGCCGCCCAGGGCATGGGTATGAGTAACGCAGCTCCCGGCGCAGTAAGTTTTGCTCTGCCCGGTTGTGTCACCCTCCGGGTTTGCTTGCGTTCTTTTTATATGATTCCTTGATAAAGGCTGGAATAAGGGCGCGCTCTCTTTGAACATCCACTCTATATATATTGCCCTATCGCGACAATAATTATACCCAGGCATTTTTCTTTTATTACAGTTCCAAGAGCTAACAGCATGACTACTCAGGATGCACCCAACCTCATCGATAACTCAGAAACAGTGCACATATCGTCGCTGGCCTTACTCAAGATGCTGAGACATGGCCGGGCAGGTGTACCCATGGAAGTTATGGGTCTCATGCTAGGGGATTTCGTTGATGAATATACTGTTAGAGTCGTTGATGTGTTCGCGATGCCTCAGAGCGGTACTGGAGTTAGTGTTGAAGCTGTGGACCCTGTCTTTCAGACCAAGATGATGGAAATGCTTAAACAAACAGGAAGGTTAGTTTTGTTCTCTTTCACCTTTGAGGGTGTCTCTAACCAATCATCAACTGACCCCTTCTTAATCTTGCTACAGACCAGAGACCGTCGTCGGATGGTACCATTCTCACCCCGGATTCGGTTGTTGGCTCTCCTCCGTTGATATCAATACCCAACAATCCTTCGAGCAACTCACCCCTCGCGCGGTAGCCGTCGTCGTCGACCCTATACAGTCCGTCAAAGGCAAAGTCGTTATCGACGCCTTCCGCTTAATCTCCTCTCAGACGCTTATGATGGGACAGGAGCCCCGACAGACCACCTCCAACCTGGGTCATCTGAACAAACCGTCTATTCAATCGCTTATCCATGGCCTAAATCGCCACTATTACAGCATTGCCATCAACTACCGCAAGACCGGACTGGAGGAGAATATGCTGATGAACCTTCATAAACATGTGTGGACGGAGGCGCTGCAAATGAATGATTTTAGAGAGGAGGGGAGCAGGAATGTGGATCGGCTGAAGAAGCTTGTTAGCCTTGCTGAGGGTTATGAGAAGCGCGTAAAAGAGGAGACTGAGTTGACAATGGATCAATTGAAGACTCGATATGTTGGGAAGGTGGATCCGAAGAAACGTCAGTACCATATCATTTATCTCCCCTCTTGTTTTTCTAAGCTCTAGTCCCACTAACCAGTTCGCTGTTACGGTTTATTATATACAGACATCGAAGATGTTGGCCAGCAACTGATCGAGGACAACATCGTCGCCGTCTCACGGCAGATGATCGATAAGGAAGCCTCCTTGGCCATCGACGCGAGTAAAAACGGGACGCAGAGCGAGTCAATGGATGTGGATGAAGAGCTATGATCTTGGCCTGTTTTATTTTAATTTTGCTACTTTATTCCTGCACTTTTCTGAGCATGAAATGTCAGGCTCCTTATCTTCTCTAGAAAGGCACTAGCATGATTCCCCGCAATTAGCAATGTGAAAGACGGGATACACATACACTGTACTGCTGTAAACTGGCATGAGGAAGGTGGGAAGGTTTATTGCCCTTATTTCTTGTGGTACTCCTCCTGCCTTAGCCTCTGTATAGATGTGCAGCTGCTGTAGCATAGAAAGGAAAATAATTACTTGGGGACAACAAACCTTGGAGTGATAGCTCCTTTACCCGTAGTAACTGCTATCCCCGAAAGATACATACCTGAAGGCCTGTAATTCTTCTAGTCACCCCCAGGATGGAGGGCTTGGAAGTGCGGGAGGGAGCCGCTTTTACTCATATCTACTCCTAGAGCTTGAATGATACGGTACAAAGCGGGAAAAAATAAAGAGTAGGTATAGATTTGTTACACAACAGATCCAATACAGGTGCGACAACACAAAACAGAGAGGCAGCCTTGCCAACCGCCGTATGTGCTTGTTATATCGATGCCAACGGAACAGAACAGCTCACAAGACTCAGTTAATTAAAACAAAGGCAAAGCTGACGTTCTTGGGGTGGCACGACGGACGGAGCATTGATCTCCCCGGCATCTACAACCCTATGCACAATGATTGAGCATAGAGTCAAATTTCGTTCCGCTGGGTTTCAACTTTCATTAGGTTGAGGAAGAAAAGACAAGAGAAGATGAAAATGTTCGCAGAAATTGTTTTGTGGTTGGTGGAAGCTGACTAAGTAACTGCACTTCCGGCCTGCCATTTCTCCCGTAGCGCTATTCAGGGATTCGATCCTGGAGCTTTTTTGAGGTTTTTCAAACTGTAGGTTTCTATACATGCAGAAACTTCCACAGAAGAGAAACACACGACCAAGCCTTGTTTCTCTAATGCTCTATGCCGTCGACTATGAAAATATAGAGCATCTTTCATATCTTTTCACATTGGTGTAAGAGGTTTTCTCCAGCATGCTCAGTCGTGCTATGCTGCCTCTTTTGAGGCCTCGTGCGGTTCCACTATCTATCCGAACCTCCTCCTTCACATACCCTCCTCCACATCTACGATATTTCGCCAGTAATAATAGCAAACCTCCGCGACCTAATGGAGGCAAAGCGCCTTCGCATACGCCCTCTTCAAACCCCGAACCTTCCGCCACGCCTCCTTCACAATCATCCAAATCAGGACAAGAGTTTTCAGAGAGCCAGCCAGAATTTGAATCAAGTGGGAAATCTCAGAAGAATACCGCGCCCGAATCTGCAGGAACTGCAACTGGCGGAGGTGCGGGAGCTGGGACAGCACGGACGAGTAGTTCTGAGCCACAATCCGATTTCTCCAAGGATCAACCGGAGTTCGAGACAGAGGCTACCTCTCCGAAGGATGAAGCGGCTGCGGAACCATCGCCTTCACAGCCCCAGAAACCCCTCCCAGACCTCACCCGAGGCATCCCTTCTACGATAGCAGAGGAGCTTGAAGCTCGTTCAAAACATCGTGGTCCAACTGCCCTTAACCTCACGGAGGAAGATGGTTCAGGGGCAGGTGAGGGCGGAGACGTCCCCAAAAACCCTTATGTGTCATCCACTGAACGCCGACGAAACAGATTCATCAATATTATGTATGCTGTGTTTCTGGGAAGTGGTGTGGGTGGTACAATATTCCTAGGCCGAAATTGGGATACTGAGGAGGAGGAGAAGCTTCACAAGGATGCGCCCTCCGGTTGGGGATTTGGGCTCTTTTTCGCCCGTATCAAGGCTCGTTTCTCTGATATCACAAGTTACTATAAGGATCCAGCATTCGAGAAACTTCTTCCGGACGATGACCCGATGATGCGGCAGCCTTACACACTAGTTATTAGTTTGGAAGATCTTTTGGTCCACAGTGAATGGACGCGGGAACACGGATATCGTGTGGCTAAGCGACCTGGGGTCGACTATTTCCTTCGATATCTCAATCAGTATTATGAATTGGTTCTCTTTACTAGTGTTCCGAGTATGATGGCAGACCAGGTGCTTCGCAAGCTTGACCCGTACCGGATCATTCGTTGGGTCTTATTCCGAGAAGCAACCAAGTACGAGGACGGTGAGCATGTCAAGGTATTTATTTACTTTCTTGCAGTTTTTAATTATCGGGATTATTATACTCAACAAAACCTTTGTAGGATCTTTCCTACCTAAACCGAGACCTTTCGAAAGTTATTATGATTGACACACACGCTCCACACGCCAAACGTCAACCTGAGAACGCCATCATCCTTGACAAATGGAAGGGTGATCCCCGTGACAAGGACCTCGTCGCCCTTATCCCATTCCTCGAATACGTCGCCGGGATGGGCATCGAGGACGTACGACCAGTCATCAAATCCTTCGAAGGCACCAAAATCCCCGTGGAATTTGCTCGGCGTGAGAAACTGATGCGAGAAAAGTTCCAGAAACAACTAGCTGAAGAGCGGGCCAAGAAACCCAAGTACAGCGTCAGCAGCATTGCGTCTCTACTAGGCATCAAGCCCACACCCCCAACGATTGATGGTGTTGACCCGGCCGCAGGCCTGGAGCAGGGCAAGATGCTGTGGGATCAGATTCGCGAGCGGGGCCAGAAGCAGTATGAGCTAATTGACAAGGAGATTCGGGAGAATGGGGAGAAATGGCTGGCGGAGATGGCAGCAGAGGAAGAAAAGGCGAGGGAGGAGCAGATGAATGGGATGCGGAATAGCTTTACGGGGTTCTTCGGCTTTGGTAGTGGCGGGGATGGCCAGGCGAGGAAATGATTTTCCGAGTCCATAATACATCCCCTCCCTCTCCCGAAATGATCTTTTCTTTTGCTTTTTTGTAAATTGACAATGTGCTTCAATCCCGAAGGCACTCGAATCCCAACCATGAATACCTCAAAATACCAGCCCCATGTCTCATCCAGCCCTCCTATCCTTCAGTGGCACTTTTCTACGTTCTAATCTACTCCACTGGGAACCGGCCGGACATGAAAACAATCCCTCTCTCCAGACTTCCCCCAACTCTCGTCCTATACAAAGTCATGATTTCCAGCTTATTCAAACTCTAGGTTCGCTATTGGCATACGTGGCTTGGCGCTGTTGTCTCTCCTCTCCTTATCCTTCTGGAACTTTTATCCCACTTTTCAGACCCACGCTGTCCTCTGTTGAATGTATGTATGGGTTGGGTTACTTGCATGGCTATTTATCTTCTTCTTTTTATTATTTGTATATCGTTATTTTATAGTCCCACCTTGTTCCAGTTTAGATATTGATCTATATGCATTTCATCTGGTGGAAAAGATGGGGGGGATGGATGGCTTAGGAAGGGAACAGACCGGTCAAGGGGCTTTTCCTTTCCCCTTTCTTTAACTTGCTTTTCTTGTTTGTATCTAACACATATATGTATATTATTTGAAGAATATGCGTGTTGGTAATACGCATGTAACTAAATGGTGATGGACAAAGATTTACCTATAAGACACCATGGATTCCCCCTCATCCCCGAAGCACCAATCTCCAGTCTCTAAACGCACACAACACCTTCTCACATCCTCACGTATAGTACCCCCCTTTAACCCCCCCACTTTCTAACTCCTCCCCCCCCTTCGTATCCGCCATCAACCCCGTGTGCATATGGGAGGAAAGGGGAATGGCGGAGGAATATATCATATTTTGAGCTTTTCGTTCCTGGAAAGAATTGGAGAGTGTATGAAATAGCGCATAGCTGGAAAAAATAAGTTAAACGAATACCTGTCTAGTCCCACCTCCAAACATCTTCCGAAACCACTTCGCCCGCTCAAAAAACGCACGGAATCCGAGTATTATGCTGCCCATCGGCGCCCCTAGGCCCTCCGCAAAGCATATGCTGATACTATCGAACAGCCGCAGTATTCTTTCGCATCAACTCCTTCCCCTGCAATCCCGTCAAATAGTCGGGCTCCATCCAGGTGCTTTGCGATGGGCTTCTGACTTTCAGGGACAGGAAAGGAGCACACAAAGCTGAGACGCCTTGGCATCTTTAAGTGGGAGGATGGTGCCGCTTAGAGTGTTTTCGAGAGATACCACTCTAGTCGATGGGAAGTTGATTGATTGATCGATTGATTGATTACATCTTTAAGTTGGTGTCTGCATCCCGTAAGGGCGCTATGCAACTGGTCTTGATCTAGCCTAATTAGGTATCTTAAGCGAGGCCCGGCAGGGCCTCGCGTGCTGCCACCCAAATTGCCACACCTCTGTAGGATAGTTGAAGGTTGTATTGATAGATCTATCTACAAGAACATAATATAGTGGTGGGTCACATGATCTAGTGGGATCGCTAACCGCAACGGCTGTAACAGCCAACACCCCCCCTTGAGATAACAAGAATCACACACAAAAACACTCAAACCACCAAGATAGTCTGTCAAAACCAAATACAAATGTAAAATTAAACATTCCCAACTTTTACACCTGTAAGACCTAGCAAAATCATGAATCATATAAATATCACAGTGTTTAGAGATTTAATAAGTTCATTCATTATCATCTGAGTGATGAGAATGTATTCTAAATCAATAATCTTCTAATTCAACTGTCAATGTGAAAAATGAAAATATGTATCAATGTGCTTACTTCAGACTGTAATATCTGTCATCTTTGTGAGATCTATAATACTCTTATTATCAGTGAGAATCTGTATCAAAGATGTAGTAATAAAGTCAAGCTCAATTATAAGATTTCAGATTCATATTACTTTATAAATCATCTTACTAAGAGTCATATATTTAGTCTCATTGAAACTTAGAGATATATAAGATTATTTTATTAAATGTCATAAAATTGAGCTGTCTGTAAGCTTAAAAATGTAGCTGAATATTGATTTTCTATTATTATTTAAGAGATCAGCTCAATCAGAATCTGAGTAGTTAAAGAGTAGATAGAAATTATCAGAGAAATCAGAGAAAATGAAAGAATTGATAGAAACAGATCTCTTATACAGATCATATCTGTAGAAAATACTCAGATTTATAATCTCTTTCAAATAATGTATAATATATAATAGAGTCTTTTAATATTGAGATATTGAATTAATATTTCATTGAGTGAGTAGTGATACAGTATGAGTAATATCAGAATGTGTTTTAACTGTAAGATATTATAAGCAATTCATATCATATTAATATCACTGAATTGTGAAATCAGTCTCTTTCTCAGATATAGAGAAATTATTAATACAGAATTCATTCTTCATTGATATTTTAACAATAGCTGTATTATCAAGATAGAAATCTTCAATAAGATATTTAATATATTAATAATATATTAAATCAATTTCTTTGTCTGAATAATTGACTTTTATACTCAAATACTTGATTGACTGATATAGATTCTTGACTTTCAATTTCTCACTAAGTATACTCACTAGCTAATCAGCATTCTCAGAAACTTTAGATATAATGTTAAGATTATCAACATAGATTATTATATAGAGATGATATCTGAATGTATAATATCAGAGTACTGAATTATAGACACTGACTGTAAATTCAAAATCACTCAGTAGAGCTATTAAGTAATTATATCAGATCTTTATCACAGAGTTCAGACTGTATAAACTATTCTCAACTATGCAGACAAGTGTTTTCAGTGAATCTGTCTCAAAATCAGTAAGTTATCTTATATAGATCTTCTTAGTGAGACACT